TRGTRSWKCATYWYKTMRKAACATCCCAGGCTACTACGAGTTTCATARCAATTGCACGCCRTCTTGACCAGAGAGCAAAAAGATTTRATTTGAAGTTCTAAACTTSAATTTGAAGTYAAGAACTTCTAATGTCATAGTTCTACTGAGCTAGTTTWTGGATGACATTCATGATTGAAAGGCCAGGATTCATGATTGAATCACCTCGAACCATTTTGTTTTGTTTYGAGGGGAATCCATTCGGTCATTCAGTCAGTTTAAAAAACTAGCTCAGTAGAACCTGGTACATRATGTACRAACAAAAGTTCATAACTTCAAATCGAGGTTTAGAACTTCAAATTAAAACTGTTTGCTCTCTGGGCAAGACGGGGTGCAGTTGTTATGAAACTCGTACCGGTATGGTAGTAAGAGCAGTTACAGTAGGAACAACTGCGCTTAATAAAAATAATWTGGTAGTGCTTCGTTGCGTAACGTACCTAGCTTCGGTCAGACGCGGCAAGACCCAATTCGTGTCGGAACGACTCATGCGAAGAAAATCTGAATTTTTTTGTTTTCAGTACTAAGTACTGACAAAACATGACAATAAATACTTCTTTTGGTTACATCGTCACAATTATGGAGATCATTGAGTAATTCGTACACGATCCATTTCCTCACAAATTACAGACAAAAAAATAATAGCAAAATCATCTCCGATAAAACCAACACTGAAAACTGAAAAAAAAACCTCGGAGATGTGTCAGTTGAAAAACATCGATATCATGATGGCGATTAAAAATGACAAGCAGCACCTAGAGAGAGCAAGAACTGAATCCAAACGAAAAGTAAGATCGAAAGCACAACGACAGATGCCCGTTGATGGTGAATATCGCCATAGGGGTAACACAGTTGCTAACACGGACATTCTGTGGGCAACGCGATGGTGTGGCCCCAGAGATCCGTTCGAGCATTGTGGACAATCATTCTTGCTTTAGTTTTTCAATGGATTTCGGTAAAAGTCTTTTACAAGCATACGACAAGTGCGAATAAAATAACCTCCAATCCTTTGATTACAAGCGTTCACGAGGTTCGGTTATCACATGATGAAATCGACGTTTTTGAACAAATATATTATAATATATCGAGAGAGGTAAGAAGGAGACGAAGAAACACAGCATCGATGTTATCGGAGTACAAGATTGAGTKATTTGTAATTCTCAAATTTTCATTTTTTTAAAAATTACCAAGTCGGATGATTCTCATGACCTCTCGAGCTATAAAGACGACAGAAAGATTCATAGTGTTTCACTTTTTTCTAGTGCGATGGCTGTAAAGAGCAAAGACGTCCTCAACAAGAATGTGGGGGAACAAATTGTGGGAAAAGAAAACGATGGCAGCGACCAATATGGTCGGACTTTAGAAAAGATACAATTCTCCGAGAACGTCAATTTATTGACTGAAGACAACGGTCAAAGCAAAAGAAAGAGGCCTACCAAAAATACGAGAACAATACAGGTGGTACAGATAGAACCAGAGAAGGAAATTGTTAGGGTTCCACCTCGAATATTACAATGCATCAAAATAGTTCTTCAAGAAAAATCACCTGGTTCAAAAAGAAAAAAAAGTAAGAGACGTAAGCAGCGGCGACGGCATAAAAAGAGGAGACCGAGCAAAACGAGGCCAGTTGGCGAAAGGGAATGTACTAAGAACGCGGAAGGCACAAAATGCTCTTTTGGCAGGCAACTTGAAATTTCCGAAGAGGAAGATATAGACGTAAAAGAAGATGGAGATAGACACAGCATTGCAAAAGAATATATGGATTACTTTCCATTAAACGACGACGAAAATCATAACCTGTCTGATGATGATTTCTACTTTGTATCTCGTAGAAGGTCTCAGGGCTTGGGAGTAGATATTGATTTCGATAATTTCGAAGGCATATCTCCGGCTATGGAGGAAGAGGTACGTCCTATTTTATTTTTTGATACCTTCGAATGTCTGGGCACACCGGAAGCCGTGACATGAAGACAAGAACGCAGAATATTATTCCGTGCTCTAGTATCAGTWAAATCATGTTGATCGATCACCTTCTCATAAAATGAAAGTCTCACGAAAGTATTCAATATACCTATTATTATTTGCTTCCACCAAATGCACTTTTTGCGAATTTGCTTTCATTTCGATTTCCAATCAACGACAATCCCGACCATGGCAATAAACAGATCGAAAAATGCTTTATTGGTGAAGATATCTGTGTTCCTGTTGAGCCATCCTCTGTTCCTTCTGGAACCCCGACTTCACAACTCCCTACTTCAATTTTTTCTCCRAACCCTTCCACTCCAAGGCCAACGCTTATACCAGGCAAGGGAAAGGGAAAAGGTGGAAAAAGCAAAGGCAACAAGGGCGGCAAAGGAGACTGCGAATGTCAAGGGAAGCGTTGCGAAAACGAAGGTGAAGGTAAAGGAAAGGGCTACAAAGGAAAAGATGGAAAAGGCAAAGGCAGCAAGGGTAGCAAAGGAAAAGGTTGTGAAAGCAAGGGTGAAGTCAAAGGAAAGGTCTATGAGGGCAAGGACCAAGGCAAGGGCTACAAAGGTGCCAAAGGCAAAAGAAAGGATTACAAAGGCAAGGGACACGATGGAAAATACAAAAGCAGCAAGGGTGGACAGGGAATTGGTGAAGGTAGAAGAAACAACTACGAGAACAAGGGAGAAGGGAAGAGCTCAAAAGGCACCAAAGGCAAACGGAAGGGCTACAAGGGGAAGGGCTATAAAGGCGAGGGAAGAGGGAAGGATTACAGTGGGTCCAAAAGCAAGGGTGAAGTTAAAGGAAAGGTTTATGAGGGCAAGGACCAAGGCAAGGGCTACAAAGGTGCCAACGGCAAAAGAAAGGATTACAAAGGCAGGGGAGAAGGGAAGGGTTACAAAGCTAAGGTTGAAGGTAAAGGAAAAGGCTACGGAGTCAAGGGAGACAGGAAAGATTCCAACGGCACCAAAGGCAATAATAAGGGCTCCAAAGCAAAAACTGACCTCACAGAGGAAGGAAGCGATCACAGTGGCAAAGGAAACGCAAATAAATCTACAAAGCGAAGCAAGGACAACAAGGGTAACGATAAAGATAGACATCTCTATCAATATGATAGCGGAATGAATAGTCGAAAGACCACGATTACCGAAGAGGGGGAAAAAGGCAATATTGACGAAATGATCGACCAGATTATTCAGGTGAGAGATACGGGAAATGTTAAACTTTCTTTGCAATGCATTCAACTTTGTGTACTTCTGGACTTGTTTCCATTCGAGCTAACCCGATTTTATTCGATCGTTCTTGATTTCTGTCATGACTTGAATTTGTATTGCCTAACAGGCGTATTTTAGAGCTTCGTGTGAGCCTACCCAGTCGCCAACGCAAGCAACATTACCTCCCAGCGAAACCATCAATCCACAGCCAGACTTTCCGACAAAATCCTCAATACCTTCAGTAGCACCAACAGTCACAGCAAATCCAACAATCACATCTCTACCTTCAGTAGCACCAACAGTCACAGCAAATCCAACTATGACATATGTGCCTTCAGGAGCACCAACAGCCACAGCAAAGCCTACAATGACATCTCTACCTTCAGCAGCACCAACAGTCACAGCAAATCCAACTATGACATATGTACCTTCAGCAAATCCAACACCTAGGGGTTCAACAA